TATATTTTTATTTTATATCCCTTTACTTTACTTTATAGCCCCATGACTATTTTGTAACTGCCAATATGCACTTCTTAATCCCTTCACCTTTTTAATCTAGCCTCCTCAACCCACCTCCAATCTGGCTACCATCAGTTTATTCTCTATACACCGTATCTTTGAGTCTGTTTGTTTTGTTTATTTGTTTACTTGGTCTTTTCTTAAACAGCTGTGTGATCCTACTGCTGCAATGTCCTTCCATTCCTTCCTCATTTCTTGTGTTTAGATCGTGCATCTGTACACTACTGAGTCCCAAGCCTTTGACGATCACGATTACTATGTAATGACAAGATATTAACTACCAGCCTCTGTTTTTGTGCTAGTGCCTTTCAAAGTTAGTGGGATTCCGATTGTGCACTCTGCACTATTGTGTATAACTAGAGTTTATTATAATCATGTCCATTTATTTATCTAGGGAAAAAAAAAGACTAGCTGATGCCATTTGGCAACCTTATCCATATTTAGCCTTCTTATAAGTGCTTTTTAAATTTGTTAAAATGATTCACTTGAATAACCTTCAATATATTGTATGTTTATTGGAAGTTTTCTCTAACAATAGTATTGAAACACCCCATTTGTAGGTCAGTTTATTAGCTGTTCATATTGTTGGTTTTCTTTGGACCCAGGAAGTAAATACATCACATTTTCAGGTGTGGGCAGAAGCCCTCGGTAGCACCCACTATCTCTCCATTCTGTGAGCGAATTATATTTTCCAGACACAGCTCAGAATGTGTAGCTCCTTCCAGAATCTTTCAGAATCTTGAAAATTGAAAATGGAAGAGATCTAAAGGGAAAGCATAAAGATGAATGGTCCTGTTAGATAAAGTGATCCATTAGCTTTGGAATTATTCGCTTATAGAGGATGAATGATTTATGAGATGTGTGACTGATGCGCCCAGGACTTAAGTTACTAAACTTACATATGTGTATTTGTTCTACACCTGAGATATTTCCTTAGAGAAATATTGCCTTAATTATAGTCAGCCTTCTTTAAAAAATAGCATACACTGTGGTATTTAAAAACATTGCTGAAATTGTTGGATAAATTTGTTTTAAGACTCTTTAAATGGTTTTGCCTTTTGTTTTCCAGCTGGAAAATTATTCGTTGCACCTCTAATCCTGGTCTTGGGATTAGCACTAGGGGCCATAGCAGTTGTAATTGGTAAGAAACACTTAACATATCTGAGACTAGAATTCTTTGAGTGCCATAGAGACAATATGAGTGTAAATTTAATAATGTGAGTCTGTTACTAAGTGGACTTGATAATCTGTTCCATGCTGGTTTTAGATAAGCAATTAGCATATGAGTTACAGATTCAGAGGCGTGTGTTTCATATAGGATGTACCTGTGTGACACTTTTTCAGACATTTTGATCCACATATCTAATAAAGCATTATTAACCACTTCTTAATACCAATATTAATACAACTAGTATTTTAGTGAAAGACTTCAGTGGACTAGAACCCAAATTTTCTAATTCTGAGTTCGGATTGGAACATCAAAGGAAAGAGGCTCTGGTACACGCTTGGGTGTTTGGTTTGTTCTAGTGAAAGGTGCCCTGGGTGAAAAAGATACCTTCGACGTGTATAACAGCACATACCCAACATATACTTGAGGACTGACAAATAGGAAATGTATCTGTTACGTGTATAGTTTTGGTCATACAAGCATATTAAAATACATATTTTGGAGCAGTGGTTCTCAGATTCTAGTATGCCTTAGAATAACCTGGAGGGCTGTTTAAAGCACAGGTTGCTGATTGGTCTCCACCGTTTCTGATTCAGTACAGGGGCAGGGTTCATGGATTTCTAGTTGTAAAAAGCTCCCAGGTAGTGCTGATGCTGCTGGCCCAGAGACCACACACTGAGAACCATTGCTTTAGAGGATGTTAAATTAAATGCTGTAGATACTGTGTGATTGTTCCACATAGTAGATGGGATTTCTTTTTTTTTTTTTCTAAATAAAATTAATTTTTCATATGTAAAGTTTTGCAAGTAATATTTTATTTTGCAAGTAATTTTCATGTATAGGACAGATAGAATTATAAAGTAACTGACATTTAAGTTTTTACAATGAGCCAGGCTTTATAAAGTAGATACTATTATTATCTGCATTTTACAGTTGAGGAAATGAAGGCTTCCAAGGCCCTCAAAAGTGGTAGAACTGAGAATCAAACCTGACATGTGGCTCCACCGCCCATGTTGTTAAGTAATAGACTATTCTGCCTGAAACTGAAGTGTGAATTCCATCATGTGCAAATGATATGACTAGAGATAATAAAGAATACTTAAATCAGAGTTTCGATATTTCGATAGAAAACATTATTCCATATTCAAACTGGTGTCACTGAGATTGTTAGAAAGGGGAGAGAGCTAAAGAAAAACAATAAAGAATGAAATCTTATAGAAGTAAATACATTCCGTAACAGGTATCTTCCCTCTTTTTATTTGCATGTATTGCTAAATAATGATTATTTGTAAATCATTTGTAAAATGGAAAATTTTCAACTGTGTAAGCCTAAATGCCTCTCCTTCTAATTAGCTTAATCTGTTTTTTTTTCCCCCTAGGTTTATTTGTATTTCCTATCTATTGCCTTTGTAAAAAACAGAGAAAACGATCACGGACAGGTATGCACTGGTGAAACGCAAATGAGCTCCTCTAACTAAGCTGGCTCAGGTAGGCGCTGTACAGCATGGTACGCCCATCTGAGAGTCACACCTTGAAAAACACGGAGAGGAACCTTCTGCCATCGCGTCTCCCCGAGGCTCTCTTCAGGCCACAGTGCCTCTCGTGCCGGTGCACTCCCAACATGGTATCCTGTCCTTTCCTTATACAAATTGCTGCTTTAAAAAAAAATGGTCACTTTCATACGCTATAAACATCCATATCGTAACTCTGACCTTCTTAATGAGTCTTGGAAGAAAATATTTTCATTCAGAACCAGTTATCCTCAGAATTGTCTGAGCATACCTCTCCTGTGAGTTGCTTGGACCGTCTTTGTACCTGAACCCTCCTCGAGCCCATCTTGTGGAACTTGGTGTGAATAACTGAAGTCCCAACTGTACCAACAAGGAAGGCCACTTTTCAGAGGATAAAGGCTCACTGTATTCCCCTGTTTTCATCTGTGGCCCAAACAATATAATTCCTTCATTTTTCAGATGCTGTAATTGTTTAAAATCTCAGTGCCCAAAAGGGAACTAATGAAACTAAATTAATGAAAAGAATCATGAGTTACTAAAGTGTGTATGTGTAGGGGTGCGAATGTGTGTGTGTATCACTATCTGTATTAAAACTTGGCCCAGTAACCTTATACTCGTCAAGTTCCAAGCCTCTACACTCTTTCCACATTTTCATAGACATATTTAAAGATGATGGTTCCTTTGTGGGCATAATTTGGTAATGTACTGAATTAAAATCAGTGTAGACAACAGGCTATTTCAATGTTGACCCTTTCTATATCTTGCTCTATCTCTTTGTCTCAAACACACACACACACACACACACACACACACACACACACACACACAAATGTGTGCAATGTCACCCCAAGGATCTTGAAACTTTATAAACTGACAAAACTGATAGACTGATTTTAGGAAACTCAAGACCTGTACATTCAGTCTTCTCAGATTTCTTATGTTTTGGCATACATGCCTCACTATGTGAATAAATCCTTCAGGAAAAATGAGTTAATTTCAATTGCAAGTTTGCTGTAGAGAGAACTGCTTAAACCTTTAAACAAATCCCTATTCTGCTTAATTTTTAACCAACTTGTAATTACAGATAATACTGCTATAGGTCAAGGTGTGATATTATTTACTACCCCACTTTCTTACCTCTCCTCTCTCTTTCTGTCTCTTTAATTTGTCTACAAGTTTTTCATAAAAACAAGTACTAGTTTTAAAGGATTTTTCTTATGTTTACTCTTATATGCATAATAATGTGTTGGTATCTTCTTATGGAGGGGTAATTTGAAAACAAAACTTTTGTGTTTGTGGGTTTATCTAAAATATGAACTGCTTTTAGAAGAAAAAAAAATGAAGGAAATAGTTTCAGGAAGTTTCACCAAGCTGAGAAGTCTTTAAAAGTAAGAAAAGGGACAAGCAACTAACTTATATTATTCCTTTGTTTCATCACAAAAATTCATCAGCAGAAAGGAAGTAAAGACCTTTAAGAATCCTGAAGTTTTCACTTGTTTCCAAATCCTTAAAGTTAGCTATCTGCATAGATGTAGCATTTATTTGACAGCAACCTTGTTTGAATTGAAATAGATTATATGATAAACATGCATTAACATGGATAGTTTCTCTTGTTGGGCTGCAGAATAGAAGAACATTTATCATTTTTACTTGAGCTAAAAAGTCCATGATAGTGAAGTTTACTTGCATGGATAACAAGCCAACACACTTTCATTCTTTCTGAAAAACACTCAGAATAGCTATAGCATAGATCCTGGACTAGACTATTTCCAGTTATAGGAGGCTGTAGTACTTATGGTCCTGGAATGGATATTTCTAAAGTATAACATGATAGAAGAAAAACGGATGTTTTCTAGTTTCACAAAATTATCTTCCCATCTATTCATCAATCCATCCATCCATTCATTCAACAAATATTTATTGAGTGCCTATTCTACATGCTCTAGTATTAAAACTGAGAGAATGAGAATTTCTAGCCTAAATCCATGCATTTCTGTCATAAATTGCTTAATTTTTATAAATTTGTCTTTCCCAAATGTAGGTGTTTTTTTGACGATATGTGAATATGATGATTCTAAATCCAGTGGATGTTTATGTATGATATATATGAATGTATATATAATATTTCCATAAAATATTATATATGTTATATATATTATCCATATGTTTATGTATGATATATATGTATACATATATAATATTCCCATAGATGCATATGACTACATATGCCATATACATATATACCAACTGGCTAAATAATATACCCTGTAGTCTTAGATAATCTGTTTTCTTCGGTTACTATATCTGTTGTCTTTGGCCTACTCAGGGATTTTTATTCCTTTCTTTGAATAACTTATCTTTAGGAGATATTTTTATATTATTTGGAAATGTTCCAATTTTCCAATTACAAAGTGGTATCTGTTATCAGTGAAGGCAGTTTCATCAATGCTTGAGTTAGCATGCACTGTGTTGCACAGGATTTTTCTTTTTTCTATGGCATAGGTTTTTTTGTTTTGCTTTGTTTTTTAAGGTATGCATTTTTCTCTTTAAAAGTGTTATGTGCTAAACCTTTCCCTACTGGTGACTTAATTATTTGTGATTTTTTTTTAAACTAAGTGTCATCAAGATCTTAAAAAGAAAGAAGAAAATCAAAACGATTATTTATATGTCAGTGCCAACATTGAAAGTAAAACAATAGTAATAATTTTGGGGATGAATTCTCAAAACTACTATAGACAATGAAGCGTACACATAAAATAAATATCTTTCTATTCAAAGGTTGTCATTTTATATGTTTTTATTGTAAATTTAATATATACTTCTTTTAAAAAATCAAACCATTTAGAATTATAAAATACAAATTTCTCTGCCTAAACCACCCCTTATTTTCTAGGGGTAACCACTGTTAATGGTTTGGTATGTGTCCTTCCAGACACTTTCTACAAATATACAAATAAGTGTTTGTGCGTGTGTGTGTGTGTGTGTGTGTGTGTATGTGTGTGTGTGTTAGTTTTATACAAGTAGAATAATAATATTCTTACTGTCCTGTGAATGTTTTTCATTTTATTATATATTGGTAGACACCTTTCCATACAGTTTAAAGAGATTTACCTCATTCTTTTCTAAATTACTACATATCCGTTGTGGAACTACACTTTAATTTATTCATTCAATGCCCTATTGAATGGACATAAAGATTGTTTTTACTTCTCCAATATAAAGCATCAGTGAAGATCCTTTACATATATTGCTGTCACTTGGTGTTACCATTCCCGTAAGTTTTTTGAATTTGGTTTTTATGAGATATTTCTAATAAAATGTTAATGCATTTGTGTGAATGAAATCATAAAGATAGTATATTTGAGACATTTTTCCTGGAGAAAAAGAAAGATTACATAGAAGTGCATCATTTTTCAAGAAAGGCATCTTTTGCAGGATAATTCCCCTCTTCTTGATTAGCCAAGTACATACCTTGCCAAGATGTATAAAAGAAAATTCATCTATTCCAATTAAAATAAAATGTAATGAGATGTCTTTAAGATACCTGAGAAAGATGCATTGATATTTGGATTAAGTCACTGTAAAATTTGAGAGATTTAAATGAAATAACAAAGTTGATCATGTCTGTCACTTTTTTTTTAACACTATCCATGTTTATGCATGTTGCTCCACAGGAGCTTACTTCTGCCATTGTGAAAAGTAGGGAGCAATGTGTTGTCAATTACAAATGACCACAGTTATTCACAGGAAACTGAATCAGACTGTATGTAAGGCGGGGTGGTTTGTTGGGATGCTTTATACATTGTGGAATAAGGTGATGTATTCATTTCACAATGAATCCCGGCAGTTCCCTTGAACTGCTATAGGACGCATTAACAAGAGGACAGGGGTCAAAACTTTTGGTGTAAGCAACATCCTGTTGCCACCACCTTGATTTTTCTGATAGGTGCTATTGTATCCTAAAGGTAGAACAGATAGGGAAACAATGAAAGACAATTAAACACCAGTCAGGTTACAACCTGATATCTTTAATTGTACTTTCTTTGCTGTGGTATCAGGATTCAGTCCTGCCTGTCAGGAGATTCCCAGTCCATGCCATCCACCCAACATCTCCTGAGTCCCAAGACCCCCGCTGAGCCTTTATCTTTCAATCCTACCACCTAACAATAGGGCCCATGGCTCTCTTAAAATACCCTGAAACCACTGTAACCTCTTCCAGTCCCTGGCCACCCTCCCCCACCTCATTATTCTCCAGTCTTGTAATACTCTAGCTCCTCTTCACTAAAAGAGAGGGGGAGAAACAGGAGACATGGAAATTCACCCTGGCATGTGCAAAGTATCAGCATTCCTCCCTGACCTTTGTCAGGTTAGAGCACACCTGCCAACACTTAGATCCAATTCCTCCCTCGTTAAACAAATGCAATTGTTTTTAACATTAGACTTTTTCCCTGCCTGTTAAATTCATAATTATTAAAAAAAAAGTTAGTGACCTCGATAATACCAATTGGTGTACTTCATTAAGTACCAACATTTTAAAAAATTTTTTTAAAAGTTATGCCAAAAGCCATTTTAGATTTTAATTTTGTAAGCAAGCTGCAGATATGGATTAATGTGAGTCTTCCCATTGGATTGATTGTACGCTTATTGTTTCGTATTTGTGGTTGCAGTCTATCCCAACTATTGAAAGTAAGTTTACCTGTGGTCAGCTTTACTGTTTTGTGTTAATACCTATTATAAATATAGCCTTAAAATTCAATAATGCACTTTAAAATATTTGTGCCATTTAAGTAATTTGACAGAGTTAAAGAAACAATACGTATATGTTGATGGAGACAGAATTACAGTGTTAGCAAATTTATGTCACCTCTTTAAATTTGGAGGGGGGAATCTGAAGCTGAAAATTTAAAACAAGTAAAATGTACCTGGAATGATGTAGCCAAGTTTCTGAAATTATAGTAATCCTATAAATTGGTATCAGGAGCTCAAACATAGCAAGTAATTAATAAATGTTACCTAATAACCTAGTTGGAATGTTTGTTAAAATATCAAGTTAATTTCTACTGCAAGTTTTAACTTCATTTTCGTAGTTCATGAAACCTGTAAAAGAAATTCTATGGACTAGAAACAAAGTAAATCAAAACTACTACCAATAGCCAGTTTGAGAGTATTTGTTTTCCAAATCTTTGTAACTTAATTATGACGTTGTCCTCCTCCTATGGAAAATAAGCTCCAAAATCCCATTTTAATATGTATGTTCACAATTATTACTTTAATAAAACTGAAATAATGTTATAGAAGCATTAAGATATGGTCTGAACAAAATCAGAGTTCCAAATTTGGGGAATATTCAAAATTGTGAAATGTTACCTTTTTGATGCAAACCAATGATGCAAACCTTTCAAAGCTAAATGCAGTGGAACTCTTTTGTAACTGTGGTTTTAAGGCTAGAAGTAATACTCATTTCATAGCCAACGGTGTGTGGGGCTTCTATTGTACATCACTATTGTGAGGCCAGAACTTTATTTGACTTTATCCAAATCCAAGAAGCAGAGAGTCTATTTGGAGCATTCGTTGAAGCTTTCATATATCACATACCTTATAGATCCCCATATATAGTGTCAATTTTAGAAGCATGTAATTATGCATATTGCAGACTATATTTTTTTTTGGCTAAAGAAGTGACTGTTGAGAATAACAACATGGACTTAAAAGGCAATAAATTATTTTTTTTAAACACACACAAAAGATTGCCACTGCTTTTTTTTGTTGTTTCCACTTCCTTTCACCTTATAAAAGAAATTTCAGTAGGTATATTTAACTCTGCATCCCTTAGAGTATACAGTCTTATTAGCATAGAAAATATTTTTTGAGGTCCATCCCACATTTTTGTCACTCTGTCCCATCATTAACGTTAAATGACTTTCTTCCCTGCTGGTGAAGTAACACTCTCATACTTCAACATCAAGTGCCTGTTTTCTTTTAGATTTACTGGTTATCTGGGCTTTTCCCCTCTGCAGTCCCCATCCTATCTTGGCCAAATGTGGAATAAATTCTGTCTCACCATTAACACTTTTGATTCTAATGAAATGAAATTCAAACAATGAAAGGACTCCATAATTTGGCAATGGTAGTGGACATAATTTACCTTGGTTTATTTTATCTGTAAATTGAAATGTCTCAGGAGTACCTGGAACACTGTCCCTCTTCTTAATAGGAGTTGGAGAACTCTGCCCAGCCCTCTGACAAGAAGTAAAGTAAATGAGAAGATGACAGTTGGATGATAGAGCCTAAAATACCCTAAATCCAAGCTTCGGAAATTGCTTCATGAATATTATCAGGTCACTATTGTGTTTGCATATTAGTTGGACAAAAAGCACATGTGGGCATTCATGCAACCTGACCCTGAGTCATTCATGATTCATCCAAAATGGCCAAATGTATGGTGTATGGTTTCAGCAAAAAGTCCTACGGCTTGGACTTGGAGCTGGATTTGCATAGTGCAGCATTTGTATATGAGACTGGATCATGGATTCATACCCTTTGAACATTATGAGACTTTTTGATCATCTATAGTAGATCACATTGAATTTAACTGATATTAGCTCTTTTCTAAAGAAACCATTGTTATTTGCAAGTGTTCAACTGTTTTATTGATATGATTTAGATATAAGCCACATTCAAGATATATGTAGTATAGGTTTTAGTGCATCATATGGGAAAGTTCTAGGGAGAGTCAAACAGGTGGTAAAGGGCCCCAGAAATGGCAAAGTGAGTGTCATTTCAGATTCCTCCTTGTAGCTGGCAAGCTGTGCTGTCATTGGTCATTGGTTCCCTCCAAAGTTGTTAGGTGTTCACCTCATGCCACCACTGGGAACATAGTCTCAATAATCCATTAAGTTCTTAAAAACAACATTTTTTCATTAACGTATCCTCAGTGTCCAAACAGACTTTCATTGTTCCTTTCAAATAAATACTATCTGATATTTTATATAAATATCATGTTTTGTTCATTTGTGAAGAAAATTCTAGATAAAGTATCATTTTTTTATCAGCTGACTACAAACCCCTTTTCTAAGACCCTTTTTTTTTTTTTTTTAAATCCCATATGGCAATGATTTACTTTTGGTATTGGACCATTTTCATCATAATTAAAATTCTGTGGATGGTAT